CCACTATGGGAATGTCAAGTCTCCAAATTGCTTAAGAAATTACACAAAGAATAAAGGGTATATTTACAAAGCTTTAAAAAAACAAAACAAAACCCAAAACCCTACTGCCATCTAGTACTATCAACCTCATACACAGCTACTGACCTGCATTAAAGCTGAAACCGCCCCTTAAATGTCATTCCTATTATTGTTTCCATTTAAATGGTCTGCAACCTAATTAAATGCCAATCTACTTTCTCACAGTTTATAACATTTGACATTTACACCAAGATTCTAGATGTCATCCCCTGAAACCATCAGATAATACTTACTGTGGTCCATGTCCTCACAGTTTACCTTTTAAAAGGACTACTTACTAGTGTATTTGACATCACAAGTTTATAAGCCTGTAAGGGTTTATAAAGTACCACAATTACTCTCTCACATACTAATATTTTAATTTCATTTTAATATACAGAGGACAAGGAAAACATTGATTCAAACTTAAAATAGCAAGGTCTAGGGTCTAGTGACATTTTCTTCTAAAGGTCACATTTCAGAACTATACAAACAAATTACAAATACATAACCATTAAATAATCAGTTTGCTCAGGTCAGTCATAAACTATAATATCTATACCTACAGGTATGTATTTTGAACATAAAATTCTACTTAGCAAATTAATTGTAACTTCACAACTGCTATCGAAACAAGTGAATAAGAACTTTTAAATAAAGACAGTCTAAAAAGCACGCCTCTCCTTTTCACAAAAGGGCACCTAAGAAGCTGATACTCACATTATACACTAAATTAAATACATACTAGAGGCGGTAAACCCTTACTGGTTATAACTCACATATGAGAATTCAAGGTTAAATCCCTGTTTTTCTAAACTAAACTACTAAACTAAGTATCTGCTACGCTCTGAATGTTTGCACCCTTCCCACTCACTCCACTCCAGATCTATACCTTGAAACCTAACGCCCAAGGAGATGGGGTCTTTGGGAGATGATTAGGTCACGAGAGTGGAGCACTCATGAATGGGATTTATACCCTTAAAAAAGAAGTTTGAAAAAGCCCCCTTGCCCCTCTGGCCTGTGAGATTTCATGGAAAAGGTAGCCATCAGTGAACGAGTAAATGGGCTCTCACCAGACATCAAATCTGCTGGCACCCTGATCTTGGACTCTGCAGGCTCCAGAACTGTGAGTAATACATCAATGTTATTTGTAAGTCACCCAGTTCGTATCATATTGTTATGGACCAAGGCACTATCTGTTAAGACTACAGAAGTTAAATAAACTATAACACACACATAAAATATATCATGCATGTATTAAAGTAGATTTAGATCTCTATCTCATATTGTAAAGTAAATCACAAAAACAATCCTACTTTTCGCAAATAAAAAACAATGTAGCTATGTTGAGGTATGATACAGTTTAAAGATTGTTCTAGAGTCAAATCTGAATTTAACTGCTAGTTGCAACACTTGCTAGCTTTCTACTTTCAGCATCTGTTTTGGGCATGCTATTAATTCTTCTTGGTCTCAGTTTCTCCCCTCTGTGGTGGCAGATATTGATCCTTCCATTTCACAGGATTGTTGCGAAGTAAATGAGATAAGATACATAAATGGCTTGACATAACCCAAGCCACTATAAAATGTTTAATAATCGTTATTTTCATGGCCATTCCCTAACCTCAAGAAATAAATTCTCTGTGACCATTTAAGAGTCAGAAAAAAGAACTTAAGAATTTGTCCCTACAGAGTTTGTATGACCTGTCCCTAGGTTTGTATGACATATAACTTTGGTGATTAATAAAAGAAAAGCCTTAGGGGCGCCTGGCTGGCTCAGTGGGTTAAAGCCTCAGGTTTGGCTCAGGTCATGATCCCAGGGTCCTGGGATGGAGCCCTGCATCGGGCTCTCTGCTTGGCAGGAAGCCTGCTTCTCTTCCTCTCTTTCTCTGCGTGCCTCTCTGCCTACTTGTGATCTCTATCAAATAAATAAATAAAACCTTTAACAAAAATAATAATAGAAAAGCCTAGAAAAACTAACACATATGTAATGATAAAATTATTTCAGATTATAAGCATATACATGTACTACATACATATAATTTATATGGCATACTCCACTATATCCTAGAATATTAAAATAATGAAGTTGAAAAGAAATAATACTGCTTTTCTAAGCCTGTGGAAGAATTTATCTAAATACACATAGTGATTGAGATGACAACAAAAATGGTCCATAGAAGGGATCAACTTGAAAAATCCTATTAATTCCTGATAGGAATTAAAGGTACAGTTAAGTATATGAAAATGATCTGATACCCAACAAACCTGCACAACTGACCTTTAGCGAAATAAATTTAGGATTCTGGAAAGCTGTTCATTCTACATCTCAGGTTCTATATTTTCAAGTCCCCCCTTTTGAAAATATGTTTGTCTTGAAAATTCCAGCTTTCCTTCATCTCACTGCTTGGATATTCCACTAAGGATCTGATTTCTGTCACTTTCCAACCTTGTGGACTTACATTTTTCATCTATAAAAAGAATCCTCCGTTTATAGAAATATGTCATACCATATTTCAAGTCAACATTTCCATTTACAGATAAAGTAGCTATTCTACTTCAAATTCTGTTTCAAGTCTTTCTCCCACCAAAGGAGGAGGCTATCTTCCTCTGAATGTTTTTAGTTAAATAAGTCTAAAAGAACAGGAATACAGCAAGATCAAAGAATAAACCCAACAAATTTAAAAACATAAAGGAGTAACAGAAATAGTACAATTAGACCAAAATAAGAGATGTATACTAAAATGTTACTTGAGTCCTTAATCAATACTATATTTTAAAAATAAAGCATATGATGTTTTTTCTACACTTAATGCTTAGGATCTCTTTAGGCACTAAAGTCAAAGTTGAAAATGACTTTCTGGTTAGCCTTCAGCATAATAAGTTTTGTAAGCCTGAGTAATTTAGGGTCATAGACCCTCTGACCACCAGTACCAATTCAGTCAAATGTTTGTTGATACATTTTCATTTTGGCAAAGCCTTTTACCATTAGTGTCTTTTTTTTTTTTTAAAGATTTTTATTTATTTGACAGAGAGCAAGAGCAAGCACAAGCAGGGGGAATGGCAGGCAGAGGAAGAGGGAGAAGCATCCCCCCTGCTTGGCAGGGAGACCGACACAAGGCTCAATTCCAGGACCCCAGGATCATAACCTGAGCCGAAGACAGACACTTAACCAACTGAGCCACCCAGATGCCCCTACCATTAGTGTCTTAACTGAAGTTACATTTACCACATTGGTACCACGTTACCATTACCACTACCACCTTCTGCAGCAGAAAAGCAAAATATTTTCTATGCATATGCTTGTTCTTCCTTATGATATTATTCTCAGGAGGGACCATCAAATGATTTTTTTCTCCTGACATTTTCAGTAATTACACAGATTCTACAGGATATTAACACTGAAATTCATTTATAGCAACAAACCATGTTTTTAAAAGCAATGAACATCATAAAAAAGCTTCTATTAAAAAGTTTGAGAGAAAAATAGTCATTTAATTACCTACAAAGAGCTACCATGGTCTGTGTAGGGCCAGTTTTCAATAAACAAAGTTTTAAAAAGCTGCTTCTAAATTGCTTGTCAAGGCTACAAGAACAACTGAATAGAAAACAGCATATTAGTAGGCAAACAAAATGTGGCCATCCAATGGAACTGAAAGTCTCATGATATTACTATTCCCACCAAGGATCATTTTATGCAAATTCCTTCAGTTCAATTTGTCATCAGCCTACACTAAAAATCATTCCCAAACCAACTAGAACTACCAGGATATAGGTAAAACCACATTACTTCATTTTATGATGTTTCATTTGGGAGCAGTCAGAGAGGCTAAAGTGAATACATGGTTGAGTCACTCCTGTAAAGACAGTAGAGATTTTGGCACATTCTTTAAAATTCATCTATCAGCACAGCTGAAAATACTAAAGCCTTGTTCCTTGGGTTCAGTTGGAATTCAAAGTATATACTAGTTAGATATATACTAGTATATAAAGTACATATATACTAGTTAAACGTGTGCTTAACTTTAAAACATTAACGCACAGAATTAGGATTATAGTTCAGCTAATTACCCAATATTTTAAATATAAATAATTTTTTAAAAAGATTTTATTTATTTATTTATTTGACAGAGAGAGATCACAAGTAGGCAGAGAGGCAGGCAGAGAGAGAGAGAGATGAGGAAGCAGGCTTCCTGCTGAGCAGAGAGCCCAATGTGGGACTCAATCCCAGGACCCTGAGATTGTGACCTCAGCCAAAGGCAGAGGCTTAACCCAATGAGCCACCCAGGCGCCCTAAATATAAATGATTTTTTAAATAAAATTATTTGAGAGTTAAACTTCCATGTTGTAGGGTTAAAAGCTTTCAAAAGTAAATCAACATTTTTTATCATAATTTTAAGCACTTCATTTTCTCTAGCCATTTTTTAATAGTTCAAGTCAATTTCACGATTCACAATTTCACAACAGGTAACTGCATGAATGATATCTGGGGTAAGTGGTCACAACACGAGAATTTTGATCAATCTGAGATAATTAATTATATATACATATAAAATATATAAAATAAGTATTTTTTATAATTTATATAATTATATAATTATTAATCAATAATAATAATTACTATAATATAGAATTAATTTTTTATAATATACATAAAACAATTATATATATATAAAAATTGGGCCATAAGGTGGTACAGGCATTTTTTCCCTAAAAGCCTTAGAAAACCTTCCTGCATTCTAAAAGCATAACAATGGTCAGAGGGCCATTTTCCAAATAGATTTAACTTTTGGGAGGGGTAAGTTCACCAGAAAGTCTCAAAATTTCTATTAAGTAAAACCACCAGTAAATTAACATTCAGTCAATTCAATATTGACACTTAAGAGTCAAGTAAAATCAGCAATTTTAAACAAAATCTCTAGTGCTGACATAAGGGCATCACTTACAAGCTGCTCTGATTTTACACCATACAACTGGACCGTCTTTGCCACGTTTTTTGACACAGCTAATGTGAGGTCTGCATCTACAGCGGCTACATTTAGTTCACTGCAGAAAACAAAAACAGACTTTAATTATTAGCAACACAGTTCATCAACAAAGAAGAGAACAACATATAAACTTAAACCTAATAAGCAATGTAGTGATTCTTTTTATAGATTTCACTGATTGCTTCCAAGAATTGGTTGCATTGTTTCTTTTTTCCTCCTAAATTCGGCATTAGGGAAAAGTGCTTTGAGATGGCTTGGTTAATGACCAGTTTCTCATTAATAAAAGCACGTCATGTGTGGGTTCAGGCTGTGATTAAGAGAGTAAATTGTGTACAGATTTTTAAAGTAGCACTCTTGTTAATACTGATAAGTGCAATTAGAGACACTGCATATCACAGACATCTGCAAGGAAATGACAGCTTTTGAATGGAAATGATGACCTTGAAAGGACATAGGCTAAAAATATAAATTACACATGATACATAAAGATGCTCGGTTTCTGTAGAAATTATGTCAATCCATGCTATTTTGTAGAGTAGCTTTTTAAATATATCAAAAGCATACAAAAATTTAATTTGAAATTTTAAAATTTGAAGTCTTGAAGTATTTATTTTGCCCCACTTATTTTCAACTTTAACAATGGATTAGTTGGGATTGCCAAAAAGGAAAAGAAAAAAAGTGTTTATTTACAAAGACCATGGAAAAAATACTGCGAGTTAAAAACTGCACAAAAACCCATACATAGATAGAAAGCAGGAAAAGTAAATTACTATGGCTCTGAGGTAGCAAAATAAATCTTGGCACTTAACAGATTCTCTTTATGAAGAAAGTGAAGGACTTTGAAACACAGGTGCACACTGTGTGTAATAAAAATGCCCTTTCATAAATAGTGAGACAAAAGTTTATTAAATTCTATTGAATACTGGCAATAACCACGCTTCCTTAAGCTTTATGTTATATTTGATTACAACATTGCCAAGCTGCCCTGAAGAATGGGAGAGATGCCTCTTTAACATTTCCATAAATAGGTGAAAAGATCAAATCCACCCCCCCCAACCAAAGGATCAAGTTGAATCCAAGACTGTTCTTGTCACTACCATACCAAACTGATAACAGAGACATTACAGTAAAAAAAATCTAGAGTCAGGACTTTGAAAAGTCATGATAATTATGGAAAGATTCCAGATCTTAATCGCATGGCGATCTCGACACCATACAGGTATGTCTGCAGCTGGATATACGCTCATAGACATTGTACCTGTGGCCTCCGGGTTCTACTCCACATGCCTGCAAGTCGCCAGCTTCAAACCTGTAGTCTAAAGCAATCTACACAGTCCTATACTTTGGCTGTCTATTGCCTAACTACTATTTTTATTTCTCAAAATGTTCATCTACAAATGTACAGACCGACTGTTATGACCACTTGTTAGCTGTGACAGGAACTGAGATAGTCTTAATAGCACATTCATCTGGGTAAGTGTAAATGTCTCCAGCAACAATATAATTACATTGTCTGCAAGCACTCAGGTGGCACCTCCATGAGGATACCTGGCCTTCCTAGAGTTTTAAAAGCTGTTGCATTCTCTTCGAAAGCTCAAAATAGCAAACACAAGTAGGCTAATCAAGATTATAATCCTGTGTATGCCATGAAGTATTTTATGGATTTAAGATAAAAAAACACTAAGCTCTATGCTTTAACTTCTCAGTTTGTTAAATTATTTTTGTGCTTATTTTACTATATAATATTATTTACTATGGCATAAAAATTAGGTTTACTTTGTATCCTTGACAAGATACAGAATAATTATAA